TCGAAACATTCGAAACGATTACAATTTGTACTACGGTTAATGACGTGAATAAGGAGTTGGGGACTCAAATATCTAACAAGTCATCCCTCTCCCAAATCAAAACTGCATGAAGTAGATATATTTTATATTTATGACTCATCCAAAATAATTGCATTGGTTGTATGACGGCGGATGTACCTATATACACTCGTGTCAGACGTTGGCCTATGATGAGTTGAATGRGTTGAGATGATTGATGGCCATATTTTTTTCTTTATCTCTGCTTCAAATTGAGACATATATTTCTAATAACATACATCCGAACAATAAATTATAAATAATGCCATAACTTAACCCTAACACTAATACAAAATATTTTTTTATATTCATTTTTACGAATATAGAAATCTAGAGTCATCTTTTGTWGTCAATGTTCCGGGAGACTTATTAGTTAATAGTTATCAAGTCATAGTCATAAGTTTATCAGAGAAAGCAAATAAAGAGAACCATTATACTTTACGCMTATCATTGGCGTTGACATAGTATCCCACTACGAACTCTCCAAGTTCTTAAAGATAATATTATGAACAAAAATAATTTTAATAATAAATTATAACATTTTATAAAAAAAATTTACGATTTTCTATTATACCTATATTGATTTCTTCTTCAATTTTTCACCTTCAATTTATTTAAAAACAGTATCAATAGATGAAATTAATCATACGAATATAAAAGCTTCGACTTTTAACAAATCTTTTAGGTAGATATCTTTATAGTCTAGTAAGGAAAAAAAATTGTTGATGCTAATAAACCGTGTAAAATAATTAAATGATGTGCCTTATTTGAATCATTTGAATACATTTTTCAAAATTAACAATAATCAGATGCATAATATAAGCTGAAATAAACAATGTTATCAATGAAAATTCAGGAACTTATTAGAACAGAATAGAATAGAATAGAATATATAAAAACTGTTACAATGATACACCAAAAGTAAGCTATTGTTTTTTTAAGGTATCGACACTATAATATAATTGTATTACAATTATTCAAACCTCGAAGTATTCGCATCGAATGGATTAAAATCAAACCAATCGAATCTATCGTTATATACGAATTAAAAGTTCCTACTTAACACCATAGGGTCACCAATAAACTTTTATGTACTAAGTAAAGTATTTATTATTTATGTATTAGCGATGAAAAACATACAATTTTCCTATACAGAAATAATAAAATAATGATATTATTAGGTATACAATTTATTATTATTATGCTGCATGTTATAATATATATATATATATATATATTATATAGATAATAATTAATGGTCGATCACCATTCAACGAATACTTAAAATGTTTAATTTAGCTAATTTTTTGTAAAAAGTTGGTGACCCAGATCTACAAAATAGATTTAAAATATCATGATAATATCAATTATATTATATTATAATAAATAATCAATTCTTATACCTGTGAGGCTATGTATCAGGTTATTTTTTATGTACACTGAGAAGATCCTTTTTACTGTAAAACATTAATGCTTTGTATTTTATACAGTACCTATAGGGGCTAGTAAAAAAAATACAATGTTATTTAATTTATATTATTAAATAATAATAACGCAAATCTCGAAAAAAAAAATTTAAGTTAAATTTAAAAAATGTATTATTGTGTTTTAGTTTTGTCATGCTCTCTTAATCGAGTTTTGTGTGCTAGATTGAATGCTATGATGCAAGTAGAAACCAAAAATTACTATTTATATAAATATTATTCATTATAATATTTCAGCATTAATTAATTAGGTTGTACATTTKATGAAAATTAAAGAAAGAATAGACCAAAAAGAAAGTCACAAAATTATTTAAAATTATTATTTTTTGTTATTCCTAGTAGCAGATCGAGTGCAGATTTTAGAGAATGATAATGAAACATAAAACCAGAAACTCGTCCTGAAGGTATGAAACAATCAATGAATTGATTAAAATAAGTTTAAAATTGTCAATATTAATCATTACTCATTAGTCATTACCATACATATTGAACGTTCACTATTATTTTAAGAAAAATGTAAAACTATCATTCTAAAAAAGCTGCCTAAACAATGTAATTTATATATTTATTTAAAATGAAAAACTATTATTAATTTTGTAACCCAATGGCTTATGTCACCGAGGGTATATTTCGTGKTAATAAAAAAAAAAACTATTATTAATACTTTTACCAGTTTTGCCCATTGTTTATTATATTTATAAATACTATTATACAATTATTATTTACAATAACATGTATAAGTTGTCTAAATTCCTTCTACAGTCCATGAGTGAAAATATAATCGTGCAGTAAGAAAAAATCATTTAAAAAATCCCGGCTGTGAATGGCTAACGAATATCTGTCCGAGAAACTCGTGCGATCGATCAAAGTACCTAAAATTATAACTTAACTATTTACACGATATAAAAATATATTATATATGTATACGTCGAGGTCGTTTTGTATGTCGTTTACRAACGTGTTGTAAAAACGACATTGCGTCATTGGCGCTTGAAGCACTTCAACTGACTTCTGACACGTGACATAGGGTTTGGAATTATATTGTGTATAAATTAAATTATTATAATGATATTAATAATAATAATACATAATTTGATGCGTTTGAATATTATATTTAAGTATCTAATAATTAATTATTGCCGTAAACCGGTGCGTCGTTCTCTATTAAAGTGCAGTTGAACTCGATATTTTATTGCAATTCAAAACGATATCAACAAGTGTGTACGATAATAATCAATAATTCTCAATAGATTTATCGTTTTTCGATCGAGAAATCGTCACGCTGACTCAAATATATCAGGTTATAATATTCAATGATATCCACGAGAGACTTTAATGGTTTAATGTGACTAAAAACGAACACCCAAGCAGTGTAGTGTTATTGAGAAACGACGGCAACTAAAATCAAAAACCGGAATTAAAATATGTTTTAGCTATATTTTCTATRTACCCAATTTATTATGGGTGTTTATCGAAAKAACATGAATAACGAAGTTAATTATTTGAGTATCAAGGATAATGTATTTTACTGTACACAATGTTGGTAATAACACATAATTAATTTTATTTAATTTTGCAACTTCAATAATGGTGTTTTTTTTTTTTTGCAAAAATTTCGTTATCGATATATAATATATTATGTATGTCTGTTTGATTAAAATTAGGGATAATAAACCAATTAATATTAATATATTATATTATACCTGTTATTATGTTAGTATAGCGGCGTTCTGGATATGCAACACGCAGTTCACATGCGCCAATTTGGAAATAAATCAAATAACCTAACCTATTGTATACGTT